CGGTCCGGGCGGTTCCTGCGCGCCGCGCTGAGTTCCTGGAGCGAGCGCCAGCTCCGGTTTGTCCTTCGCTGGGCAGGAGAGAAAAACACAAGTTCGATTGATCTGCCAAGAAAGTACAAGCAATCAGCGTGTCCCAGCGGATGTAACCGGGGTTTGCCGTGGAACGAGCTTTCAGTTAATAAAAGGGAAGTAGCACTATATCAGAGTCGGTTTTGTCTGTATTTGTGCCGCAGAAGGTGACGGTGGACGTGCTGGATCACTTGGAACACTTGGCCTTGGTGGATTTCCGTGACTCCGAGGGCGTGGAGCGGCTGCAGAAGGCGATCCAGTTTGCTGATCAGCTTCATGAAGTGAACACGGATGGCGTAGAACCGATGGATTCAGTCCTGGAGGACAGGTGATGAATCGCAGCAGCCTCCTTGTAACAATGCATCACACTGTGCTGCTTCAACTTCTTTTTTGTTTTCCCCCTGGGAATTGCCGTGGTTGTGTGTTCGGCTCCTTTGCTTACGGACAAGTCTTACCCTGGTGGTGTGTGGAAGGCAGATGTCATTGCACCCATGCTTTTCAGGTATGAGCACAGAAACTCCCAATTCCTTGGTGTATCTTACTCTGCATGAATGATCGGCACACGCTGCTCCCCAGATAGCTGTCTGTGGCATTCTTAGCTGCTTCACAATGTTCCAATACTTGTCTTACTGCTTGTTTAAGACCAAAACCATGTTTAGAGATAAGCCACGCTTCCTACTTCATATTCATGGAATAGCTGAAAGACAGACTAATAATCTTTGTTCTTCAGGTGCCTGTATCTCAGAAAAGATGATGTTACAGAGGGCAACTGCACAAAAGAGCTGCTGAAAAACGCCAGAGAGAAAGTTGAAGAATATTTTGTAGCCCCACCAGGTATTGTCTTGCTTATAAAAACCTCTTAATCTTGCTTGAATTAACCTGAGGAATATAACCCACTATAGCTGCATTCACTTGCATTCACTTGCAGCTTAGTAATAAGGAAGTGCTTAGAATAAACTGGAGAAGCAGTTTCGTGCTAAGTTGTACTACCCAGAGGTAGCTTATAGCTGGTCTCACACAACTTTCTGTTCTCTATCAGGTAACATCCCTTTGCCAAAACTGGAAGAACAAGAGACTTACCTGCCGAGCTCTTAGTGAAAGCCCAGAGCCCAAACGCCATTCCAATGTTTTATTTGGGAAAACTAAGTTTTGTGTAGTCACAGCCAAAATACTCCGGTGTGTATTCTGATCAAAAGAAGAGCACTTGCAAGATGATTTACAGTAGAAGCTGTAAAAAGTTTAATAGTGCTGCTGTAATAGTCAGTGTTTATGAAGCTGGAAGGCAGAATGACAGATGATCTCAGTGCTTTTATTTAGCAAAGTGAATTTGATGTTGCTCTTTAAGATACTGAGTGGCTTAAAGGCTTAAAAAAAAACATTATAAGGTAATTATTAAAAAAATCCAGAACACTATTTTTCCTCAACAAGTTTGTTGGGAAAGAAGAGAGGTTGAAAAGCTCTTTTGCCTACTTCTCACCTTTAGCTTGAGTCTGGCTCTGACCCTGTCAGAAGTCACAGAGTGCCCAGGTATGGAGGAGGAGTCTCTACCATTGCTACATCTCTGTGATGTAGAGAGCTCAGATTTTCATTATGGAAGAAAAGGCACTTTGAGAAGATGATTCACTCAAATATTTTGCTTCTACTGAATATTTCATAGAACAATTTGGGTTGGAAGGGACCTTAAAGCTCATCCAGTTCCAACCCCCTCCCACAGGCACCTTCTACTAGACCAGGTTGCTCAAAGCCCCGCCCAACCTGGCCTTGAACACTGCCAGGGATGAGGCATTTTGTATTTTTATTCTCATAAATTAAACACCTGGAGTTGTATATAGTTTGAGAAAGCACTTTTCAAACACAGAACTAGCTGTTCTAAAACAAAAAGTCTCTGCCACAATTATTTTTGTCCTTCAGATGTGCATCTGTAGTGGCACTGGCAATATTTTCTGGATTAACCCATTTTTCCATTTCAAACAAAGCACTGCAGTTGTATTATTTAAAACACCTTTTGTGGCTAAGCTTGTTGTAAATAAAGAATGTAATCACTTGTGAACTGGGCATTTTTGTTCTGTTGGCACAGGGAACTAAATGCACAGTCACCTTTACTTCTTGTTGGAACAGGTTTTAGAGATAGAGGTACCCTGGTACTCTTCAGTGTTACAGGCAGGCTCTGCTAACAGGAAGGTAGCAATAGCCTTATTAGAAGCAGTGTGATGAGCAGATACTGCTCTGGAAACAGCTTCACATTTAATCTGTTTCCAGCTCTACTCTACAAACTCACGCAAGCATCACCTCAGCATCATTACATTTTACTAGCTGTAATTTGGTTGTTAGGGTGCTGAACTTTTATTTTAGATCTCAGACTTGCAGAAACCACTCCCCAGACTCTTAATACTCTAGAAGTAAAATATCTTTGAGCAGGGAGGTCTAGATGCTTTTCCTGCTGCTCAGTTTTGGGTTTGGCTTGGAAAAGTTCCACCTTGAGGGAAAAAAAATAGACTGAATTAGTGCCCGGATATTCCTTTTTATTTGCAAGATAGTGCTGAAAAGTAACTGTTTTCAGCCTGTTACCCTTGAGTAACAGTTATGTATCAATACCTCAGATTCTGTAAGAAGATTGCTGGGGCATACACCTATCTCAGCCATCAGCTCCCAGGTGGGATGTTTGTCACAAAAAACCCAGCCACAGCAAAGAAATGGTAGCAAAGAAGAGGCACAGCTCCAAGAACAAAACAAGCCCCCATGAATCTGCCTTTCTGGCTTAGGCCAGGAGGCTATCACAGGAAGAGGTGCTGTGCTGGGCGAATGACGAAGACTGCTCCAGCAAACAGTGTACATTGTCATTGTCTTATCCTGGCAGAGAATGCTGAGGCTTCCTCACAGAACCTCCAGCAGTCAGACGCAAGATAAGCCAAGGCTCACTAAGAGAAAGTAAGACTTGCTGAAAGAAGAATACCAGCGCAAATGAACCGAACAGTCCAGACCATTCACTTTCAGGCCATAAGGAGTACAGTAAAGAGCTGAAAACCAACCTTCTATTCCTGGCTGGTGCCCTCTCCGCATACAGATTTAAGAATCCATAATTATTTATTCCAGTTGTAACTCCATGCAGTAGAAGTGATCATGGCATGCTAAGCCAAAGTGGAATTTTCTTCAGAAGTGCTAGAACAGACCCCTGGTGTTACTGTAATAGAATACCAGTTGTGAGTCTACTCTTATGGCTCTTGAGGGCCTGACAGAGGGAAAGTAGGCTCCTCCATGTCTGTGCAGGAACATGCTTTCCCTGAAAGCAGAAACTCACCTCGTGAGATCATAACTTGATGTCATCCAGCTTCCACAGTGCATGTTCTGTATCTTTTTGCAGAGAAAAGTCATTACTCCCATTCGGTCTTTCTGTACAGCTGCATAATAAACATCACCAGCTTGGTGCATGTGTCCCTTCAGGTCCTGCCAGCTGTCTGATAGAGGAAGTCCTGTGCATGGCCATAATGACTATTTCTCCTATGAACTGCATTTGCCACGTCCCTGCATACAACAGTTAATATAAATTAGAGATTAATGATGTTTTCTTAACATCTCAAGCATATGAGAAGTATTATAATTTGAAAAACACTGACAAAAAAGTAGTAAGGAGTTTGAACAATACTGCTGCTAGGTTCAGCCATTAGGGGCTTGCTTTCAACACCGTGTGTACAGACTGCTTTGACAGTGGCCTCTCAGGCCATTCATTATGTGCCATGTGTTAAATGGAAAGCCTAGGCTGAGTGAAAAGCACTACAGCTAGCTGTGCTGGTGTAAGGAATCACAGCTACTGAGTAGGAGCCATTTTCACTCACTCCTCTCAAAGGCTGCATGTTTGGTAAGCTTTTCGTGTTTCTCTGGCAAGAAGTGATAACAAACTCTTGTCCTACTCTTATTTGTGCAGTTACTTCATTATTTGTTTAAGCTTCCATAATTCACATACACACATATATATGCATAAAACACATAATTATGATGATACTCAAATTCTTTTAAGAGTATTGAATTAAAGTCTCTATTTAACCCCACTAATCCAATTCTTTGCAAAGATGTAACTTTAGTCTCAGGCTTTTCAAGATTCAGACCCTACAAATGATGAAGTTTTATAAATATACAAGCTCAGCCAAAAAGTCATTTATGACTTTTATAAATCATGACAACGAAAGACCTCAAGTCACACCATATAACAAGCATGTTAGCAGAGAACTCCCAGCTTGAGAAATCCTTGTTCTATCTGTTCTGACCTCCTCCTCTAACTCTCGGAGAGAACGGGGACAATGTTACTTACATAGAAAAAGGAAAAGGAATTTGAGAGTCAACTGCATGGCTGCAGGAGCTTCCAACCCAATATATGTAGCTATGTTAAACCAAGAACCAAACCAACCATTTGGACAAAGATGATCCCACATTCCCAGTGCAGCACAGGCTAAGCTTAAAACTGCCAGTTCACTGCTGCTCCCTTGCCCCCTCACACCAGTGAGAGAACAAACTGCCTGATGCCTGTTTGCTGCAGCCCAAACTGCATGTAAAGTGGAAAACACACATTTCCTTAATGAAAGGGTTTGTGGCAGCTTCACCACTAATACGGGAATTACAGCCCTGACAGAGACACCTACAACCATCAGAGCAGGAACCCTCACGGAGGCCAGATAAGCTGCCTGTGGGGCAGAATGTGTTAGTGCCTCAGCCTGCCCCGGCGTGCCTGATGTGGTGGATGCTGTGCCCTACAGCATGGCGCAAAGCCCCACTGGGCCCCAGCTGCACCCTGAGGTGGGGACGAGACGCCCTTGGTGGTGCTGGTTCATCTGCTGTCACTGCAGGGCCTCGATGAGCAGGTGGGTCTGGATCTGGGTCAGATCTTTACAGTATTGTGCGCCAGTGCAATTTATAAACCCTGGCAAGTGAATAAATATAGTTAAGGATTTGTGTAATAAAATTGCTCCCTGTAAATTCCTGGTAACTGCAGTGGGGCAAACATAATGTGTATTTGTGAAATAACTCATCTTTTTCAGTGGCCCATAGATACAGCAAAAAGAAGGGGAAAAAAAAAATCAGTTTGGTTAAAAAATAAAAAGGAGGCCAAATTCTGATGTAAATGTGTCTTGTTTCCCTGGAGACCGTGGAGATAACTTGACTTATACCTGCTAAGGTTTTTCCACTACTATGAAGATCTGTAACACATAAAATTGGATTAGAAGCCCTAGCATATGTATTCCAGGTTTATTAAGAAAATTTCAAGATGATTTCTTCAGCTTTTTTGGGGAAAAAAAAAAAAAAAAGAAAATGGAAGTTGGTTTATGGCTGATAATTATTATTTTATCTTCTGATAGTAACTAGGAGACACAAGAATAATCTCTATTATATAGAATAATACAGTATGTGACACAGCAAAAAAAGGCCTCAACTGAAAAGTGCTTACAGTCTAGCCTCCATCTGCAGAGGCATCTCATGATATGCCTTATCCATTACCCAATTCTCTTTGGTACCTCCTCTACTCCATCTACCATCTGTGTGTGTTTGTTCTGCCTTCTCCTGCAGCTCTGTCCTGCTGGAAGCCATACTTTGATATCCATGATCAACAAAGAAGGCTCTAAGGTTTCTCTGTAATGTTTCTCATTTACAACATGTATCTATCATCTCACCCACACTGACATTTCCTGCAGTCGTCATCACATCTGTTCCTTCAGCCAACCAGTTCTTAATAAATGTGTAGAAATTTGCCTGCAGTTACCAAACACAAGCACCTCCTCTGAGATTCACGGGTGGTTCTGAAGTTCATTGTAAGCACCGAGAAGATCGTTAAATGGTTCAGTTCTGTCAGCACAAACCAACCTAGTACTCAAAGAACCATTACAGATAATAAACACAGCTTTGTAAAGAAATTGCTTACTGGAGTCCTGAGACTATTCAAAGCTTCTTCAAGTTGCCAGCACAAAAGGTCCCTTACGCTTTTTTACCTGCTGCACTAAGTAAGTTCCCTTAATTTCGTAACTTTCAGAGCAGTCCCTAGCACAGCCTCCTGATGGCAAAGACTAAAAGCAAAGCTGGGAATTGCAACTCTTCTAGCTGGAATGCAA